TTAGTAAAAAAAATTGAAATTAAGTATGAATAAGAAGGTTGAAAATATACCCAAAACATCTCTGTCTATTTGAATTTTCGTTTTCGGTATCATAAATTTATAACTGAGAGAATTTTGATTGCGGTCCATTTGGTGGTAAAAGGTTTCCAATACTATGATAATGTGGTAAAAGGTTTCCAATACTATGATAATTTTGACCACCAATTCTGAAAATGTATGGAGCGTTTCCTCTAAATTCAATTTTACCACCCATTGACGTAAAAGAAAATATTGAATTGTAACGTCGAATGTTTTTCATAAAGTTTTTGCTTTTAGAATCCTTTCCTCGAAACATTCTTTCAAGATTTGGCGGTGCGTTATTTAAATATCGAAGTTGAACCTTGTCATAACCACAACATAATCAATAATCTTTGTTCCCTCTTTGTTTTCCTCTAACTGATTCATTTTTCCATAATTTTGTATGACATGTTTGACATACAACAATTTGATCAGCATGATCCAAATATTATGTTATAAAATAAAGCGGTGTAAGTAAAATATTTAATTTCATAAATATGTATAATACGATATTTGAGTTGTAAGAGAAGAAGAAAATGGGTATATATATATGGATTACCTTTGGAAATACCAATTATTTGGTTTTTAGTAATGACTTCATGCATATTTTCTACGTCTTCTCTCAAGTCGACAAATGTAATAGGAGATAAATGTTCCAACTTCCTTTTTAATTTATGATATTCTGGATTTAACTTGATTGACGATGAAGAAGTAGTTATTGTAGATGCATTTCTCGAGGTCATACCATTACAAAGTCCATAGTAATGTATTTTATTTTGTAACGTTGAAGTTGTGTGGTTATTGAAACTAATATTAGCTGGAAAAAAATAGTGATGATATATAAATATATTAGAAAGTGATTGAAATAAAATTTTTAAAAGCAATATTATTACCATTTGAAATGTTAGATAACGGAGTTCTAACGTTTATATATGAAGAAGAAGATTGCAACGGTGTATTTTGGTTACCACGTGATTCATAGGAACGAGCATTTTGCTTTTTCATGAACATTTTTTATTGATCTGTAAAAAAACAAATTGTTATAAAAATTAAAGACACGTATTATAAAATAAAATTAGCATGTTAATTTTTTATTGGTACGGGGAAATAATATAAAATGATGGTAATGTATGTATTTTTATATAGGTAAATGAATAGTAAAAATTAAAAAAATAAAATAAGTAAATTACAAGTATCCATGTTTGACATGTGGTGCACATCGATTTTGAACAGTGGATATTGTGCTCCTTTTGTTTGACCTCTTATTATCCAAATAATATTTTTTTGTCTTCTTTTATCTCTGGCTTGCAAGTAGTACATATTATCATTTGTTCCTACATAACGAATAAAAAGTATATGATATAAAATGGATATGGGTGTAAATAATTGTGTTTGATATATAACTCAAAATAATAAATGATTGAAATTTGGTTAATATTAAATTTTTCATAATAGTATCTAATGACTAATAATAATAGTGAAGAAAGAAATGTACCTTTGTAACCGTTGCTAACAAATGTTGCAGATGGTGAATCTTTCGTGGCCGGTGAACCGGTGAAGTAGGTAATTTTTTTGGTTTTTCATATTATGTTGATGCAATAATACATGTTATTTTTTGATTATGAAATTTATTAAGGAAGATAATATATTTATTTAAATATGAATTCAAAAATATATATTGAAAATATATAGAATTTGTAAAATTTTGTATTTATATAATATGAAAATAATTTATGAAATATTTTTATGTTATTAAAAGATATATTTAGAGCTTAAAACATCTGTAAGAAAAATATATAAAAAAATGTTAAAGAAAAAACATACCGTTGTAAGCTGAATCAATAGCATTTGTAGCGGTTGAAGTTTGTCGCTTTGATGTAGTGATCAAATTAATATTATTTCTATTTTCTAAATAAAAACTATTTAATTTTCTCTTCTTTTTAGAATAAAACGACTTCATGATATATCTGCAATCTGAACAAATGACAACAATTACTTTATAAAATAATATGATAGGCAGTAAAAAGTTTGATTATATTAAAGCAAAATAACGTGTAAACTAATATTATGATAATATTTGACATATAATTGCAATTTGTTTTATCATACTGTGTAAGTCGGTCAAAATTTGAAATATGATTTCATTTAAATATTCTTTATTTATTTATGTACCCTAATATAAAAAGTATATTTATATAACATTGATAAAATAAAATATCAACAAATAGTATTTATATTAAAAAATGTATCAATAAACAAAATGTATATAATATTTTTTTATTGATTCACAAGTTAATATACAAGTTAGTTGTCAATTATTATGAAACAATGACCATTTAAGCAAATTTACTTTAACATGGAGTGTAAATTGGAATTTTCTTTAGTTAGAAGATAAAGCAAATGTTTAGGTTTGTCTGACACACAAACACACATTACAATCGAACTTCTATGTATAGATAGAAATGAAGAACGAAAACAAATATTTGGGTTAAAGCTTATTCATTTGTTGTGTCGATTTTTCAAAGTCAAAAGGTAAAAGATGTGTTAAGGGCGGAAAAATGGGGACCGGAGCCGAAGGTGTATTACAAATCGACTTCAATATTAATTGAATATTTCGATTTTTCAAAAGTAAGCATTTGGTTACCTGTAATCATCAATTGGAGAGGACAGCATGAATCCAAAAGGAAAAAATGCAGCTACTATCGGCAAAGCAAAGACGATCCAAAGGAAATGACATAAAATAAGGTTAGGATTTTATAATCTTTTAATTTAGGTTTGAACTTTTGATTTTGGAATTGTGTGGAGGGAATGATAATTTGTTTTGAAATTTTGAAACTATTAAACCAAATTTCTATTAATCATCCATGAATATGGTTGAAATTAATAAAAAAAAAATGAATGTTTTTTTACGTATATCTTATTTACTGTGAGGACGTGAACCGATAATATTAACAAATTAATTTATTAACCACATTAAATATATAAGTCTTGTATTAATCTTTTGTAAAATGCCATTAATTGTCCAGAATATGAAATTACAAATATCTAAGAACAACATACAATGCATCCATAGTCAAATTCCACAATTAATTGATTAAAGACTAACTTAAAAGTGGGAGGGGCATTTTATGCATTTTATAACTTAAAAGTGAACTTTAATTTTTTCATAAGCTTTACCTGGATAATCGGTGAAATATCCGCCATAGACAACTCTAATGGTGAACCTCTTGTCGTTTCCTTTGCCATACTCTACAATCGGTGGGTTTTTTGGTTGCTAACTGCTTACGGTCCGTAGTTGATGCCTCAACTTTGCCCATGGATCGACATTCATGTTTGTTGCCATTTTTCGCCAGATTTTTTTTTTCAATTCGAAGTTATCGTTGGATGGTGATGAAATGCAAGAATGAACATTTTAGTATACGGGGAGGGTTTAAATGGATGACCAATCGGAGATGAAGACACATCAACGAACGACATAAACACATCAGCTTCGATTACTTACAAGCTACAAGGGATGTTTAAGTTGAACGACGGCGGGTATAATCATTAATTATATTTAGTATTTATCCTTTTGTGTAAGTCGGTCAAAGTTTTAAAACATGATTTCATTTAAATTTTGTTTATTTTTTTATGTAGCCTAATATAAAAAGTATATTTATTGTATATTTATATAACATTGATAAAATAAAATATCAACAAATAATAATTATATTAAAAAAACTTATCATAAACAAAATGTATATAATTTTTTTTAATGACTCACAAGTTTATATACAAGTTAGTTGTAAATTATTATGAAACAGGGACCATTTAAAGAAATTTACTTTAACATGGAGCATAAATTAAAATTTTCTTTAGTTAGAAAATAAAGCAAACATTTAGGTTTGTTTAAAACACAAACGCACATTACAATCGGACTTCTATGTATAGATAGAAATGAAGAACGAAAGCAAATATTTGGGATAAAGCTTATTTGTTTGTTGTGTCGAGACATGAATTTATCAAGTAGAAGAACCTTAAAACTAAATTAGGAACTTCAAGAACCTTTTTATAAATGTTATGTACAAATTCAGAATAATACTTTAAGAGTAATTTATGGATCCGGATTCCATCATTGGTACTATTGGACTCGCATTGTTTTTCAGAAATATTGGTTATTGTAAGTTCAATTTGTGACATTTTTAAAAAATAAATCTAACATGAAAAAAAAAGTTGTAAAATTGTCAGTTATAATCAGCAAACAAAAAAAAAGTTAAATAAATAAAATTAAAAAAATTGAAACACTAAAAAGAAAGTACATTTCTATTTAACTGATTTTGATTGATAGAAATACACAGTGTTATCATTTGTTTAAGTGATTTATGTGTAAATAACTTAGTTAAATACAGTTAGAAATACACACTATTACCATCAAATGATTTTTGTTTTGGTTAACAAATACCTAATATTACTTAACGTTTATATTTGATTTCTAATATCATAATACTTTTATTTTTTCTATACGTAAATAAAATGATAGTAGAGTGCTATTTATTGTATTAATCCCTAGATTAATGTTTACTCCTTAATGAATACTTTCGAATGAAGAAATAAAATCAAAATAAGATGTTATACTATCCAATATTTAATAAAAAAATAGTCATTTTGGGAGATAAAAGCAATGTTGTATAAAAGCAGTTGTTCCAAAATAAAAATATAATAGTAAATGACATTGTATAAATGAATAAAATCAGTTGTTCCAAAATTAAAATATAATAGTAAATGACATTGTATGAATGAAAAAAACGGCACAATGTATGTTCAAGAAATAAATATAAAACCATCAAATCCCAAATAAAACCCATTCGAAACGAAGAAATTTAAAAATGTAAACAGTTTAGAAGTCTATGGTACGGAAACAAAATTAACCATGAACTAAGATTATTTGTAAAAGTAAAACACATTTACTTTTCTTTCTTGGGGATGAAAAGACGCATTGGTTTTTCTTCTGGTGCTAACAATCGAGCAGACTTAGATGTTGACAAATTCTCCATTTCATCAAGATTTATGCATATGGCAAGGTTTCTTTTCAACTCAGTTGGTGTAGAAATCAACTTTATAGGACTTGTTGCAGTTGAGTTGCCCCTAGCACACAATGTTAAATTGTCACCTGTATGTGAAAAAGAATCCTATAAAAAATTTTAGTTAGTTGTTATACATTAAAACATAATACTTCAGAATTATAATTTAAAAACTACAACCTTGACAAGTTTGGTATCTTAGGAACCAATATCTGAAGAACCAATCGTGAATGAATCAGAATTAGCAGGTTACATCATAAGATCAAAAACAAAATCCTATTGGGTCAGAGATTGTTGGGTCAATGTGGTAAAAACTAAATAAAATTGTTGAAAATAACCTGTGGAATAAGATTCTTTTTTTTTCAGTTCATCAATTATGGCTGCATTATCAGTTAATCTTGATATCCCCAAAATATTACTTTTATTAGTAACATTGTAACTTGAGATATCAATCTTAATTGCCAACTTTGTGTCCACCACAACTTTCAACTCCATTGGATACAAATCCAAATTGATGCCAAGATAAAATATAAAAAAATATTGTTAGAAAATTTGTATGTATAAATATATAATTGTATAACATAAAGAAGTAATTTAGAACAATGAAATAATACCTTCTTGTTTTCATCATACAACTCTTTAGCTGTGTATTTAAACAACTTCTTTGTTTCTTGATCAAATAAGGTGAAAGTCAAGGTTCATGTGTTGTCTTGAACACGAAGTGGAATTTTAAATCTAAATAAAGTGTAAACTATATTATATTACACAATTATGATAAACATATATTGGTTTTATATAAAATAAGTATGTAATACCTTGGAATAACCGAAATTTTAATATTTTTGCATTTAGGATTAGCACATTCATACGTAACGATTTCGGCCAATTCATTAGATCCATCAACGTTATTAGAAGAAGACTCTTTTTGTTTTGTTGACTTCTTGCAGTTGCAACAAGCAAGGTAATATCAACATATTTTTTGACGTATTTCGTTAATAGTACCAACAATAACGACTGTCTTTTCGTGGAAATTTAAATAATGTTTAATGTTAAGAAAACGTTAGTTTGCGAAAGTGTATGTTAGTTTCGTTATAACAATATACTATGTTTGTTTATTACACTTTTAAAATTTAAAAATGTACATTAAAGTAAAAACTTTAGAATAACGTAAAGTATCTCTAAAGGTTCAAACAAATCATTAATGTTAGAAAACACATTATTTTTCAGAAAGTCATTGTGTTTTGTGTCTTGTTTTGATGCCATCATTTTGATTTCAACTGATGAAAGTTGTTGTCCATTTTCAGAAACCAGTCTATTCATTTATAACAAAGAAAGGAATTCAATTTATTATATTATGAAAACAATGAATCTGAAAATACAAAGGAAATTATAAATAAAAATACTTGTTCTTGTAGCTTGTAATTCCATCTATATCATTGTTTATGAACAACCTACTAACATGAAAGTAGGTGGATGAAAAAGGATGACCTGCAAAAAATAAAATTTATTATTTAATTATATATTAAATTTTATTAATTGGTTGTTAAAACTAATTACAAACCATTAATAAACTTCCCTATGGCAAATTGAACAATAACAATAACTGGAGCAAGGCTGTTATTGTTAGCAAGAAAATCATGCATGTAGTATGCATTATGACCCCACAAAGTTATATTAAGATTAGTATCCCTGAAACAATAAACAAATATTGTAGATAATATAAAAGAAACTATATTATTTGTTTGTAATAATGGTAAATACTCTATATCTTGAAAATGCAAGAGCATCTTGTGTTTTGATTTATCTTGTTCCGATGTATCAATACGCCCATATTCAAAAATGTGTACAATAATATCTACAAAAGCAACAAAAAAATAAGATAAAGTTAATAAAAATTATCAATTTGTAATAAAAACAAAGAAAGTAGGATGTTATATAACAAAACTTAATATTAAAAGAACCAACCAAAAGAGTTGACTCCAGGATGTAGTTGGAAACAATCGTATTGAAGTCAACAAAAGAAAAGCCATGTCCAGAACCAGAAAAGTTTTCACAATCCTTTATAGTTTTATCATGATTAAAAGTAAGTTTTCTATCCGGATCAGCAAACTTAAAGTTTGAAGTATTTGGTGCAACATTAGGTTTCCTGACGTATAATGAACTATCTTCTTTCAAATAGTGTTGGAATTTAGGAAACCATTTCTTCAGACAATATACATGAATTTTCCTTCCCTAAAAAAATAAAATAACAAACATTTAAATATAATTGGTTACTGTAACACCCGTAGATCTGGGCTAGTCAATTTAGAGATAATAGAGGACGAAAACGAATTTTCAACAAAAGATTATTTAGAATAAATAATCTTAACCAAGTTGTAGGATATGTCTCAAGGGTTTCGTAAATATAAAGAACGCCAAAATCCAAGTTATAATGTAGAAGTTATGACCCATCGAAGTTTCACGACGGAACCAGCACGGCACCGGAAAGCGTAAATAGCAAATTTATGGTAGAGCGATTTTTAGCCTTAGCAATCTAAACGAAAGTCGTAGAATACATTAAACCAAGTGCGTCCACAAGAAGAACGCCAAAATCTGACTTCATATGAGGAATTTATGATTTTTCGAAGTTTCAGCTTAGCAGTGTACATCCCAGAGTTCGAATATTAGATCGAGCGGTTTCTAGCCGACCCAACCTAAAAGAGAATCGAAGACCTCGTTAAAAGTAGTGTAACGGTAAAAAGATAGACAAAAACGGATGTCGAATGAAGAAGTTATGGATTTTTAACGGACCAATCATGTCCTGGCTTGTTAAAAATATAAATTTAAAACAATATCAAAATTAGCCGACGGGGTCTAAATGGAAGTTATAGAGTGCGTTCCTGCCTACACGTGGATATAAAGAACGTCAAAAACGGAGCTCGTATGTGAAAGTTACAAAATTTTGAAGTCGGAGTATGAAATTGCGAAGCTGATGCAAAATTGATGGCGTGGCCGCATCACAACCTTCCCTTGCTCCCCACGGTCTCGCATCCGATAAGGACACCTGGCCTCACACACGCCCGGCGTTCGCATCCGACGAATCACGTACGAAGAGCCTACTCTACGTGTTCTAGCTTCCTTATGTGGTCCGAAGGCGTGCACGTTGCTCCATCCGAGGGTCGGCACCTGTCCATTACGCCCAACATACTCCAAGGATTACGCCCAATGTTCAGAGGAGAGGGCGCCTATAAAAGGGTTGCAAGAGCAGTTGACAAATGCACACCAAATCCATTCTCTATCTCACTACTTTCTCTCTCTAACCCATTCCAACCCCCCTAAATCCTAGGGAACCCCCTAGCACCTGAAGTAAGCCCTGAGGCTCCTGAAGTCTCGAGAAAAAGAGTTTTTCAGTTCGGAAACGCTGCTCCAAGCAATGCCCGGTTTTCAATAAAACCCGTTGTAAGTGAGCTACGCCAACGCTATTTTTAATATAGCTTTTAATTAATTATAGTAACGTTATTTGCACCTTATGGTAATTATTTGGGTTATTATTATGGTTCATATAAGTATTGTTTAACGCTTATATAATAGTAATAATAGCTAGACTATTAATTAGTGTTGGTGAATATTAGACTAAACTCTACTGATAATGATACTAGGTTTTGGCCGATGAAAAATTGTGTTGAGAGTAACAAAGTGTTGTCTGAGTGCCGAGTCACCACCTTCTAAGGTGAGTGCATATTTACCTTCATCTTAGACATAGATATGAAGTATTTTATATACATTACGTGCTACGTGTGCATATTATCTGTATACTTGCTATCTATGTTGGATGAAAAAATTTATATAGGTTTTAAATGATTTAAACTGTATATGTATTTTATATCTACAAAATATGTTGGGTAAAACATGGGTAGATTAGAGATGAGATAAATGATGAGTGATGAAAGATAAGATGAATGATGAGCGATGATATATGAGTGGTAAATTATGGTGAGAAGCGATGAGCCGAGCGACGACCTAAGCGATAAGCCGAGCGACGACCTAAGCGATGAGCCAAGCGATGACCTAAGCGATAAGCCAAGCGATGACCTGAGTGATAAGCCAAGTGATGACCTAATCGATGGCCCCATCGTCTAGCAGAGTATGGATGACAACCACAGACTATTCTAGACAGTCCAATGGAACAATAGCAGGCTTAAAACCTATAGGTGTTGTGAACGATGTGTTCACCAGTGTACTCTAAAAACCCATTGATATGTATTGCGAGTGGACTCTCGAAAATGATATTGTTAATAAACGAGATAACCATTGAAGCTACGCCTGAAATACATTATCAGCACCTGCACCTCATAGAGAATGTCGCAATTCTATCAGTTGCGCCTAAAGTGATAAATCTAGCAGTCGTGCTTGACAGTTGTGTCATTGACAACGATAGACTTCATACGTATTCCTTAGGATAATCCTTAGGAATGAATGAATGAGAAATAGCTGATTCTTAGGGTAGATCCTTAAGAGTAAAAGAGATAGTGGGGATGGGTAATTGGGTTAACTGTTTGATGATTAAACATAATAATTTTATTATTTTGGGTTGAAAACCCTATGTACTCACCAGGTTTCCCAACCAGGCCCACTCAGTTTATTTATATCACAGGTGTTGATATGAAGTCACATTACACTGAAAGATTAAGGAGATATAAATCACTGAAAGATTAAGGAGATATAAATCACTGAAAGATTATTTTGGGTTGAAAACCCTACTGTACACATTTTAGTTTTAAATAAATGATTAGAATTGGTCCATTTTGGAAAAAAAATGTCACATTTATAGTCACATACATATACATTAACACATTCATGACATTAAAAAACACATACAAAATAACAACTACAAAAAACAGTGACACATAATGTATTAGTTCTGAAAGTAATATGTTGTAAACTTTTATCGAGATATGAGTATATACACTGAATAAGGGGAAACAACAAACTGAACTGGTTGATTATGCAGTCTAAAACAAAAAAGTCGATGAGTATATACCCTGGATATAGGAAAAACACATTGCAAACACATAAAAAAATCGATGAGTATACCATCGATATATGAAAAACAGAGAGCAAATAATGTAGTCTCCTTACCAGATGATTAATGTCTGATCTATGCATAGTGAAACAGGAACGTAAACACAGATGTAAACGTGTATATATATTTGATTGATATTAGATTGCTGATTTATTGGGATTCATACTCAATTTGCTGATTTATTGGGAGTGATAGAGTTCAACATTTATTTTTTGCCATATTTGTTGCATAATTATATGGTATGATTGAGAATTCAAATTTCAAATTTACTGATTTTTCTGAATAAAATTTTTCCTAATTTATAATATTATTTTCGAATTTTAGAATTTATGGACATGAAGGAAAAATATTGAAATTCAGTTACAACAAATGAGTAGAAAAGCTAAAGAGTGAGGGGCTAAGGTAATGCCACATGGCGGTTAATGTATTGTTT